GAGCCTGTTCGGCGCCGCGGACTTTCGCGCATAGCTCGCGCAGCATTGCAGCCGAGATCAAAGAGAGAGAGAGGAGAGGGTTGCGCAAATTTATAGCGCGGGAGGCGGCGGGTTGTCAGCGCGAGGTGCAGGCAGCGCAGGGTGTAGATGAGCAGGACAGGAAAAAGGTGGGGAGTCCGAGGGTTCGACCCGCGGGATTGCATGGTCCCTCGTGGTTGGGGTGTTCATCCAAGTGGTGCGAGGTTTCCCGCTCTCCACATTGATCCGAGCATGCCAACTACGAGGCCAATCACTTCGCGGAGAAGATGGGGCAAGGATCGAGCTGGGCAGAGGGGAAGACGAAGAGTCTGGCATGAGGGAAATGCGCGTAGCAAGAAGGGAAGATGGCGTGGGAATGCAAAGCAAGAAACGGGGGTGCGAGACGTGCGAAGAAGTCGGGGCTTAGGCGCGCGCGCGTAAAAATTCAAAAAGTCCCCACCGAAACCGTTTCTTGGTTTTCATGCCGCGGCCGCTATTCGTCCGCGCAGGAATTATTAACCAAACAAAATGAAAAAACCGTTTCGAAAAGAAAACAAAAGCAAAAAGAAAGAAAAACCCCTGTTTGTCCGCATCCATGCCTCGGGGCTTCCGTTTTTTTTTTTTCCTCAGGGATACGGCAAGCCGCGCGGTACGGATCGGAGCTTATCACATATGTGATACGCAGGGGGTTCCGAAAAAGTAGCAGTCTCCTGACTGCTGATGTCATCATATCTTGGATGATCGGGCGGCCTCTTCATCGTCAGCTGACCCGATCATCTTCCTAATCTACGTGGATGCATACTGCATCCTCCATCGCCTCCTCCCATACTATACATCCGATCGGGCGGCCCCCTCATCGTCAGCTGGCCCGATCGGTAAGTAGTTTTTTTTTTTTTTTTTCACAGCTCGTCTCGACGCACGAACTTTGGAGATAGGAGAAGAAGACGATAAAGCGAAGGAGAAGGGGAGAACAGGGGAGAGGTAGACGGGGGTGATCACAAGAAGTGATCGATGTCGGGATTGAGAGGGGGCGGAATAGGTGGAAGAAAAGCGGTCATTACCGCGGGAGTCGTTGGCGCATCTTCCTCCTGGAAGTGGTGCTGGACGAACGAGGGATAGAGGAAGGCCCCCGACACATGAGACAGGACACGTGGCGCCAGATCCGCCACCGTTCGCACCACCCGCTTGAGCACCGATCAGGGCCCTAGACCCGTCATCACCACATGAGTCTCGGTGTAAGGCCGCCGCTCCTGCTTCTGCGCCGTGAAGACCAGGAAGTGGTACATCACATTGGGATGCTGCCCGGTCTCGTAGATGAGCGTCCCAATCAGTCGCGCCGCAATACACCCTTGAAAAGGGGGTGTCAGATGTGGCTGCCAGGCCGGATCAGGGCGTGGCGCCCCCGCGATGGCCTCGAGCCTGATGGTGGCGGGCTCCACCATGAAGTCCACCTCTGTCAGATGGACCGTCCGGCTCGGAGGAACTACTAATGTCAATGACCGGGGCACCCCGGGGTGGCTGGCGGGAACGGAGAGGTCCCGCGAGGACGGGGGGTCTGGATATGGGATCCGGAAATCCCATTCGGCTTCCTCCTCCGGCTGCTGCTGCTGATGATGACCCGGCTCCATCAAGATTGAGATCGGGCACACGCGGAAAGGGCGGCGATGGCACGACAGTCTCCTTTAGGGGCGTCGCCGCACTCCCAGGCACGGGGTCAGGATTCCGCGTGCGCGCGGGCTGAATCACCTCCTCGCCGCCACCGATCCTGCTACCTTGCGTTCTTGGCGACGGGTGGCGTCTCTTCCTCTTCGGCGTCTTCTTGGGGGCCTTCGGTGGCGCCGATCGAAGATACGACGAGGGAGGTCGCAACGGCTTTTCCTCCGGGAAGTCCTCCAGCCTCTCTGCGCGCTGCGCAATGTAATCCGGGATGACGACCGCGTTGTACATTCTCCGTGGGGCCGTCGCCGTCCGCAATCGTGGTTGGATCTCCTCCTCCTCGCTCGCGATCACTTGCGCAATGGAGAGGAGCTCAAGATGTATGAGCTCCAACAGCTCCAACAATCCCGGATCGATCGTTTGGAGCTGGGCGAATGGGTACAGCGCCATCGTCCCTTCCTTCTCCGCTGGCTTGGGCCGTGTGATGACGTAGTAGACGACGAAGTGCTCCCCGATGCAATGGTCTTCGTGATCCACGAAGAACTGGAACATCCCCAGCGCCACCGACTTGTTCAGCACACGGTGCAACTCCCACGCGTCTTCGTCGGCGAAGGGCAGCGGCTCCACGTCAGTAAGTTCCACCAAATACTCCGCGAACTCGTGCATGGGATAAGGGCCCTCCGTGAGCTGATAGGGGAGGGTGGTGTAAGAGAAGAAGGGAGGCATTTAGTATGGGATAGGGGGAATGGCTTGGAAGACGAGAGGAGCAGCGGGAGGAAGAAGCGCAGGGAGTTGTGGCACCAACGCAATTGGTCCGTCCTCTGCCCTGCGCAGCAGCACTTCGTGGGCTGTGAATCGGTGTCCCCCCCGTCCTTGCAATCTGGCCACTGATCTGGCCGCTTCCACCGTGTATTCGCGCACAAAGCTTCCGCCGGCTCCCGATTCGGCTGCGGTAGGATCGTCAAGTCTCCGATAAAGGTGGCGACGCTGTGCACGAAGTTGTGTGCCACCTGGAGCGCGCGGAAATCAATGAAGACTCGGGTCGTTTCCCGGCCAGGCAACTGCGTCACATCGACGTACACCCCCGCATACGTCAATCAATCGCAAAGCAACGAGTACGCCGCCAAATCAGCAACCCCGGGCGCTGGCACGTTCACCTGCTGAATGTCGTACCGCAACTGCCTTTCCTCATTGAATCGATGACGCAACAAGCGATCTGCAAGTGGCGTCTAGAAATGCTGGAGGGGCTCATGCTCCAGCTGGCGATGGTTCATCCTGCTCCCTGAAACTCTCAGTACCAATGGACGAGGCAGATTGGGAAGAGGATGAGGATGAAGAAGGAGAGGGTGATCTCGCCGGAGCGGGGATCCGTAGGGGACCTAGCGATGGCTGGAAGGGCCGGAGCGCGGCAGCGTGCCGTGTCAGCGGTCGGGCCTGGGAGTTGTGACAGGGAATCAGCTTCACGGAGTGCTGTCCCTGTGCGCCAACTTCCGTGACCTCGTAAATGCCTGTGTAGCGCGGGTGGATCTTGGAGGAGCGCGCAGATTTCCGTACCAGCACCAAGTCCCCAACTTTATAGCGGGGCAGTGGTCCCGCCGACGCGTGTCGATTCTCGTAGTAACGGATCTGCCATTGATGTGTCCGATCTACGGCCTGCTGTCGACGGCGAGCTAACGGGGGATAGGCCCTAGCCATTAAGTCCATGTAGTGGCGGGCCTTATCTCGGTTATGGGCCCGTGTTGCTCTAACTTCCGTACCTACTAAGGGGGACAATTGCACCCGAGGGGCACTATTGGTTCTCAGTTGAAAGGGGGACACCCCAGTACTACCGTGTGGGGTAGCTCGATAAACGGCCAAGATGTGGTCGACAATGACCAGCCAGGGTCGGGTGTCTCCCGCGGTGATATTCCGTCTAAGGGCGGTCTTAATCAGTCGGTTGGCATTCTCTACTAGGCCATTAGCTTGAGGTCAATGCCCCGGCGAGTAGATAATCTTAACGTCCGCCCTGACTAGGTGACGTTCTACTTCGCCTTGAAATTCCGACCCATTGTCCATGTGTACCTCTTCTACGTCTAGATGCATGCACAAAAATCGATTTACGTACCAAGCTACTTCCTGTGAATTCCGACTGGTCATAGGGTACGCCTCTATCCATTTCGAAAAATGATCGACGGCCACTAAAAGAAGATTGAGCTCTCCCTGATCGACGGGACCTCTCGGAACGTTGATATCCGTCGTGTCGATGCTAACCCTCTAAAGGGGCGCTTTACCCGAGTGGGCACCATCGTCCAAGGCATCTGTACCGGCGCCTTCTCTGCCGCGCAGGCCGGGTAATTCTGGACGGTGTATTTCACATCTTCCCGAATCCCCGACCAGTACCATCCGTTCTTTTCGATGGCTTTTTCCGTGTACTTGACCGCGAAATGGACCGCATCCTCCTCATGAGCGGCTCGTGTCCAATCGAACCTAGCGAAAGGGTGCGGGACCGTCAACCAGCTAGACCCTCCGTCATCATCAACTTTTTGTTTTTTTAACATTGGTCCCTGCCAGCGATAGTCCTGCGCCCGCTCCGTGACTCTCCGCCACTCGGCTTTGGTAAGTTCTGACAGCGAGTCGCCTGACAGCCTCCGTAGCAACAGAAGGTCCGTCCAGACTTCCGCCAGGCGGACACTTGGCGCAAATCCGTCGGCTGTTCGTGCATCCAGATACCGTTTCTCGGTAAGGACTTGGTCCGTTCAACAGTTGGGACAGACCCACGTCTTTTCACTTCGGTACCTAACGCATTGTCCGTGGGACTTGACCGCTTGACACCGACTACACTGCACCCACAAAAGAAAACTGGGCCCTCCCGGATGTGACCCTTCTTGGTCCGGGACCATAGGCAAGGTACAGAAAAAGCAGGGACTTAGATGTGTTTCAGGGGACGAGTAGGGACTAGACGAGAGAGCGAGGGAGTTGGATGAGGGCAAAGAGATAGCGTATGCCATCTCCGGTGAAACCTCCATTCCGGACTCATGCGTCGTTCTTGCGCAACACGTGTAGCTCCCTGTAGTGCGGTTTCGTCGCCACGACTTTTGGCCTCCACGGAATGAGTCGCTCGTTGGCGGGACATTTGTTGGGCGGCAGGAGGTGCGTCAGTCCATCGGCGTTACCATGCTGCCGCATGGCACGGTGGCGGATGTCGAAGTCATAATCTTGCAGACGCACCGCCCACCTGCCCAGCGTCCCCATGTAGTCCGTGTTGTTGTGTAGGGACAGCAGCGGTTGATGATCCGTTACCAGCACAAATTTCTAGCCGTAGAGATACGGTCGGAAATGCTGGATCCCCCACACCACCGTCAGGCATTCGCCTTTGCACGCTTCGTAATTAGCCTGCATCTGGCTCAGCGTCTTGGATGCATACTCAATGACGTGTTCCCTTCCGTCCGCCCCGTGCTGAGTCAGCACCGCCGATATCGCCTGAGGTTGCCAGTCGGTGTACAGTGCGAACAGTCGTGTCGGGTCGGGACGCGCCAACACAGGAGCAGATGTCAGAGCCTCCTTCAACGCCTGAAACGCTGCTTCGCATTCCGGCGTCTAGATCAGCTGTTCCTCTTTCTTCAGCAGGTTCGTGAGGGGCTTCGCTATACCGGCGAACCCCTTGATGAAGCGTCGGTAATAGGATGCCAGCCCTAGAAAAGCCCGAACCTGGGTGAGTGTGACCGGCGCCGGGGTTTCTTGAACTACTGCCACCTTCCTCGGATCCGGTTTTAGTCCATCGACCGTGACGATGTACCCCAAGAACGAGATCTCCGACAAGAAGAACTCACTTTTCTCCAAAGCCACTTTGAACCCCGCATCTTTTAGTGCATGCAAAACCCACTCAATATGTTCCACGTGGTACTCATGTGTTTTTGAAAAGACCAATCCATGTACACAATCACGCAGAAATTGATCAGGAGCTGGGTTAGTCGGGTTTTGTTAACGAACTCAGCGAAGGCCATATTCATGGCCCGCTGAAACGTTGCAGGGGCGTTACAAATTCCCATGGGACACCGGACCCATTGCCGCGTGCCCTCAAATAGGATGAAAGCGGTTTTGGGTCGGTCCTCCGGTCGGACTGCGACATGGTGAAAACCGTGTCGACTATCGAACTTGGAAAAGACTCGCGCGGCCCCGATAGCATCTAACAAATCGTCGATTCGCGGCAAGGGATACACATCTTTGGTAGTGATTGCGTTCAATTTCCGATAGTCGATACATACTCGGACCGAACCATTTCATTTTGGCACGAGGACCACGGGAAAAGACCACGGTCCCTGCGATGGTTCGACCCACCCCAACCGCTCGAATTCCCGTACCCTTTCCAACGCCAGTTGTCTTTCTTTAAGGGAATATCGCTACGGTCGGCAATGTATCGGGGGGGTTAGCCCTATGTCGTGGTCCTGAATACTGACGGCCTCAGGATAGGCCCGTATAACCGCCAGGAGGAGGCGTCTGTATTCATCCGGAACACAGGCTGGTAACTGAACTTCTACGGTTCCCCCAGGAAGGGAGACCGTCGTCGTAACCGTGGGGACCGCCGCGCTGGCATCGGGGGAGGCCCCAAACAAAGAGTTGTCGGTTTTCACCGAAAGGACAGTCGCAATAAGTTGACTGTCCGCCGGACTCACCGGCTCGCTTTCCATATCACTGTCACTGTCCAGTTCGGGTTCGGCCGAGGGTTCTACCGAAAAGGCCTGCGTCAGTTCCCTTGGTCCCCACCGATATTCCCTTGTTCGGGGTTGAAACGACACCCCCTCTTTCAGGAGTATCACGGCTTTCTCATTCGTGAGTAGGGGCCGTGGAGGTCGAAAAGATAAATCGCACAGTCCCCTAAGCTCGGTAAATCTTTCAGGTAGGGGGTCCGTTCAGAGATACAAGGACGCAAGGGGGTTTCCGAAAGGTCAGCGATTCGGGACACCCTCAGCAGGGGTTCCCCCTGCACCACGGAGGAGAACGCGTGCGACCAATTGGACTCGCTCCGAACTATTTCCAGTGGTTCTCACCGCCAAGAATGGCGCCACCGATCCTGAACTCGGTTCGGGTATCGGTCGAGTACATCAGTCTCGTCAGTTTCCGTCGAGGGTTCATTTTCGTCCGGTGACAGGCGTCGGATCATGTTGATTTGATGGGCTTTCGTGGTGAGTCGAGGCGCCGGCTGGGTGCGTCTGCGCACCGCCAGTCTCATTGGTATTGTTTGGGGTTTGGGGTGGGCCGATGTGAGCACCACCTTACAACTGTCAAAGTGCATTCGCGCTCTGACCGCCGCCTGCCACGGAATGCCTAGTAGGACATCGTACGCCTGTACATCCAACACTATTACGTCGCACAAACAATGCATCCGCCCCACCCGTATAGGCACGTTCGTTATTCGCCCTTTACAATGAATAATGTCTTCGTAGCAGATATATACAGTTCATCCGGTCGGAGGGGCTGAACCTGTCCTTCCCTTCCCAATTGTTTCGTCAATCTCCAAGAAATGGCGACCGCCGACGATCCCGAGTCTAGGATGGCGGCCGAGGGATTTCCCCAGACCTCGCAAGCACACTCAACGCTTTTCCAGGTTATAGGATAGGCTCGGAGGAATACCTTGGGTTTTTTCGAGGCAGAGTCTACGGTCTGGATCATTCCTATCCGGTCGGCTTCGTGCACCTTTGAGGTCAAGGGCTGCGACTCCTCGTTTGCGGGTAGGTCCTGTAGGACCGGCTTTTTGCCCTTTCGACTTTCCTCGAACCGACGCCTGTTTTTGAGGCATCGTTCGATCAACTTTTCGTTAGCCGCTTCGGAAATGGTTAGCAGATAGAGAATAGGGATGGGGATCCGTAGATCCAGAGCCTTCAAGGCATCCAATACGTCGATATGACCATCCTTGTATTCAGGACTAGGTGCCGCAAGGTCTTCGAACCCTGGTCGCCACGACCCGAGGTCGCTTTCCTCGGTAATCCGTTGGACTTGACGTATCACTCCGATGGTCCCGGGTTCGAACATCGCCGCAGCCATGTATTCATCGGGCCCTATCTCGGTGGCCGCAGGGGTCACCATTTCCGTTGCCCCGGTATCCATCACCGTGGCCACCGTCCCTTGTCCTGCAATGGTTGGAGCAGCTAGCGGGATTTGGGAAGGCCCAGCGGGCCCACCCTGAGTTCGAGGTTTCGGACAATCTTTCGCAAGGTGACCTGGCTGATTACAGTTATAACAGCGTAGGGGCGGGACAGCCCTGGCCACCGTCGGTCTTATCATAGGGGCCCCGGCGGCCATAGCCGCTTGTTGCCGTTGTGCGGCGGCTAGGCGTTGCCGCTGCAGGGCCTGAACGAACTCCGTCAGCGGGACCACTACCGTAACTAATTGGGCCGCGACCTCTTTTATGGACACTTCTTCCTCACCCCGACCTCCTTGTGCTTGACTAGAGCGACGTGAGGTCGAAGCAGAGGAAGAAGCTTTCCGGTCCACGCCTTTTTTTGCCGGACCCAACCCGAAGCGATCTGTGAACATTCGTGCCGTAGCGGAGTAGCTATTGCGTCGAACACCCAAAGGGTCATCTTCGTCGGATTCTGAGTCCAGACCCACATCGTTATTTTCTTTCCCGTACTTAATTGCGTACTGGATTAGCTCCGTCAGGGTATGTTCTATAGGGTTGCATTTCTTGCGGATCTTCTTCCGCAGATGAGAATCTGACAATCCTCTGATGAAATCAGTCCGTACCATTTTCTCGTCCACCCCGGAGCGCTCGGCTAGGTACGTAAAATCTTCAGCATATCTAGCCAAGGTCTCCCGAGGCTGCTGCGTGTATTCCTTTATTAAACGGAGGCATTGACCTGGTGCGATGTGATCAAATCTGTCGAGAAATTTCCCCTGGAAGGCCAGCTAATTGGTGAAGGGGTTATGTCCATACCACTCAAAAGCGGTTCCGGCTAACCTTCCAGGGATTCGTTCTCGGAGCAACTGGTCAAACCAGCCCTGGGCTTTCAAGGCGGCTAGCCAGGTGCGAGGGTCGGTATCATCTTCGGAGAAAATGGGAACTTTGGAAGGAGGAGGTACAAAGTACAGGGGGTGATTGGCCATCCCCGCGTGGTTATCGCCATCGTTTTCACCCCCAATTCCGGGTTCCACCATCGCGGGAGGCGGGTTTCGAGCCCGGCCTCTCGCTCGGTTCTGATTGCTATTCGCAGGCCGCCGGCGACGGGGAGCCAGCCTACTTAAAAATAAGAAGAATCTAAAAAGAAAGATCAGAGAAAGAAAGAAAGAAAACTCTTAAGCAGGGTATTCGTCCTAGAAAAAACTCGGAGCCGAAACGAATCAGCTCTGACACCAACCTCACGCCCCCTCGCGGCTTCCCGTCCTGGGTCGCCGATCAGAGTTCTAGGAGGGGCGTGGCCGAGGATTTTTGGCCATAGGGGTTGAGTCTCCCGGACGGAACGGGAGGCTCTCGTTTCGTGCCAGAGGTTACCCCGGAGTTGAAATGTCGTCGCGAAGTCCCGTGGGGGTCGGATCGCTCCGAAACGATAAAATTAGAAGGGTTTCCGCGAAAACGAACTGCCATCGTGCATCAGGACGGGAAACGACCTCAAGGGGAGAGGGCCATGGCGGCGGGAGACAAAACTTCGGCCGTCAGGGGTTTGGGGGATAGGTGGTGGGTTTGAAGCCTTCAGGCCTCGTCATCGGCCTCACGAAGTGACCGAACCGTCGGGTCTTTGCTGTAGAGGTGATTGGTTCGAGGCCTTTAAGCGTCGGACTCCCAGAGTCCGCTCGGAAGGTTCCGGGAGGATAAAGCTGTGGAAGGACTCGATGGCGTCCGAATTCAAAATTGCACGGGCAGCGCCCCCGCACTACGGGAAAGCTCGGGGAAACGTGTCACTCCCTCGTGACCCAGGACCAGTCATCGCCAAGAACACGAGTCCCCTTGGCGACACCAGTGACAATCAAACTGCCGCCGCCATGCGGCGTGAGCGGCCGACCAGGATAGCATAGTCAAACCCGTATAAGGCAATATTAGAGTCGGGGAATCAAAACGCTCAATCAAGACAAACCCGTTCCCCCATATATCACAAGCCCGAGGCGGGTCTCGCCAGCACACTTGCTCCATTCGCCTCAGCGCGCGCCATACGTCTACATCGCAGTAGACGCTGTCGCCATCTGTGATGGGAAGGTCGGTAGCGAGATGAGACGATCACGGGCAAGATCCCGCGCTCCCGGTCATCCGAACCAACATCGACTCCATACAACACCCGATGCAACCTTCTCTCTCAGGGCTAGTGCGTCGGAGGAAGATGGCGAAATCGAAGCTCTCTTCTCCTTGCGGGGGCGTCGACCGCGCGTGCGGACGCAGGCGGTTGACGTCACCGGTACGGGGACGAGAAGCTCAAAAAGGAAGGCGGGAGAGAGAGAGAGGGAGCTTACACTGAGAATGCGCGCGCGCGCGCGAAGGGCCGCGGAAGGGAGGGGAACAACGGGATTAACACACTCGTACTCCTAGGCAGACGGTCCCCCAGTTCAGTTTCCCCGTCC